GCCCCTTATTGTGCCCTATCCAGACCATTTTTCGACCTCATTTCGGCACAGATGGTATCAGAGGGGGCCCCGAATCCATAACATGTGCAAAACTCTGAAACCATTTTATCGTGAACTCTGCCTTTAAACCACCTTCCTCGGTCCTACACGCAGAGGGATTCCTCATACTATCATAAGCGACAACGCCCCAGCATTTGAACTGGGATACTATCTTAAAAGAGTAACTTCATGCTGCTAAGAGTGATTCAATTGTGCTGAGAGAGCAACAAAGAAGTTTATTGGCATTACAATACTCCATTTGCCACATGACTAGAGGGTTCTACGAGAGGCCAATCAAATCCAGCAAGCTCGGTCTTTTCAAGACAATAGGGCGTCCGATCCTCTCTTTAGAAAACTGATTCTATAATTTTTATAATTCTGATCGAGACTAGAGTACTTTTTAACACACATCCTCTCACATATGTCACTGGAGAACCCACAGAAAGACGTAATATTGAGACCAATGAACTTCATTCAGAAAGATATCCTAGCTTCCATTCGGTGAGAAAACAGAAGGAGCAGAAGACCTGAAATATTTGCCACCGACGGTATTGGTTGTGGTTCAAACGAAACAGCAAGCGACCAAAGCCTTGGAATCGTCTTGCCAATTTCAGTAAAATTCTGGGGAGTAGGCCAAACAGAATACCTCATGGTTCTCAGCGAGGAACATACCTCAGTTCCGGAAAGAAGCAGGATTCTCTCAATGCTTTAAAGAAGGAAGAGTAGCCTCGATGAATGATCCTGTACTACCTCGTCGTTCTTGGAAAATGGGCGTGGTCCATCACGTTATATCTCAATGCTCAAGAGACAGTGCGTGAAGTTGTTATCAGACTACCACTCAACGACTTATTCGCAGACCAATCAATCTGCTAACTCCTCTTGAACTGGACGATGATTCTTCAGAACTCATGAAGCAGTCTGCGGAAACAGAAAAACTCGATTCAGAGGACGGAACATCGATACTATCACAAGCTGATTCTTTCGCAGACAACAGCCAGTCACGAACGATGCCACGGTACAACTTTCGCAAGCGGAAATCACTTGATTATACTGAAGGTGAAAACAAAAACGCTTCCCACGTGTCCCATTTACATATTCCAACTGGCATACACATAACGAACTTTGGCACTTGCCTTTCCAAAAACAATCGCTTCGATTTTGGATTTTCAGATCCAATACCGTCAGAAAGTCCCGGCGAATCCTTGGCGTGATACGCACGATAAATTAGGAAAATATTCAGTAAACAATACCATTACTGAAAATCAGTTTTCGTTCACGATTGAGTTCAATATAGAACTCCTTTCACATTTGTTGTCCTAATTCAGTAATCTCTTTTAGAGTTACCAGACCTATGCCGGAGGAAAGACTCTATCTCAAAATTCCCGCTTTGTGGCCAATTTTTGGCAGAACCCTTTACCACCAGATCTGGAATAGGAGAAATTGCTGACTTGGAAGGAACTGCAAGAACAAATCGAACAAGAAGAGGAGTTGGATCTGTTCTGAACGGGTTATTTCATGAACTCAATCTTTTGCGATAGCCGCCCGGGAAAGCTCATCTTGATCGCCAGCTGCTTTTTCAGAATGAGAAATTCTGCGCAAGACAATCTATCGCATATATCATGAGATTCAGTGAGCTGGTATATATCAAGTCTGAAGGTTGATGCAATCTGTCATAAAAATACGAATGATGGTCTTCGCATAAGTTGGTAAGTGATTAGTCTCTGAGGCTTATGCGTGATATAATTCGAAAGGTTGCCTCACGTGCATATGCTTTTCTGGCAATTTACTATGAAAATGGTTTCTGAGATTTCTTTCCATGATGAACCTGTGACCCCAAGGATAGCCGAAGGGACGCCGTCGCGTCGAAAAGCAGTCAAGATAGGTGTGGTAAGGTTCCCTAAAATCGGCTCAGCCTACGTGAACACCCAAGGCGGACGAGTCGTTGAGTGTTGCGGAAGCTGTTGAGGTTGCACCATTCGCACCGGGACCCACTCCTCGCAAGCAGGCAGCGTGTGCAATGGCGCGCGCATTCGAATAGCTGGTCCAAATACCTCTTTCATGCCACTTTTTCCTTAACATTCCAACCTCTAACTTCACCTCTTTTTCTTTTTTTTTCTTTCTTTTTTTTTTCTTTGACTTCCTTATATTCCTCTAAATACACCGTTTCCCATTTTTTTCGCCACTTTAGCTTTATTCTTTACTATCACTTCCATTACCGCCACACTATCGCCATCGTCATCAAAATTATCGTGAACTATACCTTTGAACAAGCTCGTCTAAAGAGACGCCGTGCTCTAAAGGTTCTCGACGCACAGTGATGAATTCATATGGAGGCATGCATGCCTCGCCATTTCCCTCTTTTCATTACGTACTGAGAGGGGATGAAGTCAGCAGACCATCTAGAAATTTCGAAACATTTTGAAGCATGTGTCCTATGAACGACACTTTTTCTGAATAAGCTCGTTCCTCTTTCCTGTCTCTTTCATCGAACGCATTTTTAATCCGTGGAGGGAAATTGGCTGATGGGGACTGACTTGCCGCGCGGTGCTGACGGAGTACTGGATCTGGTCAGAAGCATGAGATGGGGCAACCGGTAACGGCGTCATCTATAATCTGTTCGGATTCGGCATAGTAAAACAAAGAAATACGAGATGAAAAAGACGAAACTCGAGCGAAAAAGTTCGCGCTCTGCCTCAACCATTCTGCCAAACGAAGGCTCGACTTATCCCCTGACTCAATACCATGGGTATCTAGAAAAAACGTCGGAGTATTCTGTGGAAAGTAAGGCCCTGCTCAGCGCTAACTACAATGCAATCAAGGTGAAAGCGTGATCAGCCGAAACATGGAAAGGGGCAAACAGGATAGTTTCAGCGCTTCAAAGGTGTCAAGCATTGACATAAGTCGTAAGGATTATCCTTCGGGTGGTATATCAGATGGCGCCGTCGCACCTCGTCCATTAGCCAGATGACCATCAACGACTATAAATGCGCCCGTTTTCTGCTATCCCATGGAACTCCTAAGGACATATGCACCTACCAGCGCTTTCTCCCATCACCCAATTTTAGAGTAGAAATCAATGTGATTTCAGCAAGTACGTTCCAAGGAGAGAATCGGTCGTGTTTTTTTAAAGTCATACTCAAAAAAAATATGAACTTTAATGCAATACTATGTATTTTGGTGGAAAAACGGTTCATGCTCTGCTTATCGATCTCTTCATTTCAAAATTTCCATTGAACGGTGTATTTTCGTAGGCTGTTCTGCCAACCGACGTCTTCGCTCAGCCGCACGGGCACAGAAAACGAATTTCAAGTGTCAGACGAATTCCAAGAATAAGACTAGCACTGTGGAGAAACACGCAGCTGTTGGGAATCGCGCAGAACTCTCTAACTTCTTATGGGCGTCACTTATGGCAAATATCTTCTTTTTCTGTTTGATCTTAACATTCGTTTGTGTAATTCTCTGCTGTGGAAGAAAAAGAGCGTACTGAGTGCTTGACGATGTTGTTCACTGGCCATTGGCCTAGTTTAGAAGGTCGATTCTCGTTGTTAAAATATGTTTTCCAAGCTGTGTTTGTCTGAAAAGCTATTGCTTCTACCTCATTGAATTATTTAGGAAAATAAGGCACAGCAGAGGAGTGGCCGAAACCTCGACTGGAAACATGCTGCCTCTCATGTCCTAGGCTTACTCAACTTACTAGGCTATCCCATATTTCTCTTTTTCTGCTTACTAAGCCACCCTTACTACTAAGCTTTTCAGCTATTCCATAGTAGTGTGTATTTCAATTGAATTTTCCTATATGAACCCTGATTATTTGTAAGCTGTTCTAGACTACATGCTTTGGCGTCAATCTAAGTCTCAAAGTCACCGATCAACCGTTTATGGATTGGTTTGTCGATGATTATAATGAGAATCAGTTAAGGATGAAGAGGAAAGTCTTGGGGCGTTAATCAGTCCTGTCGGAGGGAAGCGCACACGCATTCCACTTCCATTCATAATTGTAGAGGCGTTATGTTACCTATACACCGACTTTCGGTGGTCAGTCGATGTACAAGTCAGAGCTTTTATTCTTCAAGACGAGGCCGGTACCAATAAACGGACCCTAGAGAGATCGAAGGCTTTAATGATCTATTCAGATATCGTTCCAGGATTCGAACCCGCGAACTCGAACGACGCTCATTCCATCCCTTTGAAGACATCTTCGAAAAACGCTTCAGGCCGACCTACGCTTTTTGCAGGGTCCGGTGTTTTTGTGAAAGGCTTAATTCTTTAAGAGTGTTTTCGGACATCTCATCTTCTGAAGATCTGAATGGAAGACGCTTCCGTCAGTGCACACTGATGTGAGATTGCCATTGTCACTCAGACAAATGGGATCTCAAGGGAAATCTGAACAATGAGAAACATCAACCATGAAGTAATGAAGTTGGGAAAAACCGGAAAGGTTTGCATCACACACAATAATGAAATTGTGAAACTGCCGAGCTCTCTTATGTGTCCTAGGAAAGTGGCTGCATCTCGNCAAATTATCCGTCAGCTGGTAGGTCAAACATCGGTCCTCTTGGATTCTTGGAGTTACTCGTACTCCCTTGAGAAGTGTTTTCATGAGTTCTTGGAACCCTTTTCTCGAAGGAATTCGATGAAAACCAAAATGGGAAAGTCAGCAGAAATTTCTCATTTGAATTTCGTGAGAGGCTGTGAATGTGAGAGTGCTGCAGCACTTGTTTTCAGATAGAACCATTTCAGAATCACCTGTCCATATGTCAACTCACGGTTGCAAACTGTTTGAAACTTATGGTGCGGAGCACTGTTTTGCCGTAGCCCCGTAAACCCTCCAGTCCGTCCCAGGAAACGATGGCACTGACGAGGTCTATCTAAGGAGCGGCAATGCACTGAGGGCATTGCCACATTTTTAGCCAACAAACTGCAACGCAAATCTTCGATAAGAACGACCAGTAGACGCTTAAATCCGCGTGATGCGTGATGTGAACCTTTTGCGGTTGGACGGAAAAACAACACAGAACTCGCAATTTTTTCATCCAACAATCAGGCACTGATTACTAGA